AAAAAAAAGAATAAAAAATCAATTTTATTTTCAACAAAAAAACACATTTAAAAATTAGCAATTTCATAACCAATTTTTTTTTTTAAATTCCTGGAAATACAATTATAAAAAACGAAATAATATTGAATTACAAAAACCAATATCTGCCGTATTAAAGACAGTATGTGCAGTAAATAGGGTATGATGCAAATACGGTATGTTGCAAATACGGTATGCTGTAACTACGATATGCTGCAAATACGGTATGCTGCTTATACGGTAAGCTGTAAATATGGCATGCGTAAATACGGTTGGCACCGTATTTACAGCTTGCCGTATATGTTACTTCCTACCATATTTGCAACTTATCGTATTTGCAACCTACTGTATTTGCAGGCAACTTATTGTATTTATAGCATACCGTATATGCTATCTAACATATTTGTAGCATACCGTATATATGCTGCCTACCATATTTGCAGCTTACCGTATATACCGATTTTTGTACTTACAAATAACGAGAATGCAAAACACCATATATTTACTTACCAAACCGAATATCAGAAAAAATTCCAGATGTTTATCTTTTCGGCATAAGTATAAAATAAATATTAAAACATATGAAGTACAAAATATAAACGCATATGAATATGTAAGTCGATTTATAACTTTGTACTCAATCTTCAATTTTTCAATATTGAATTAGAAATATAATCTTCACATTCAACTCAATCATTTTAGCACTATCAAAGAATACAGACAAAATAGTTTGTATATTTCTTATTCAAGTATGAAATATACAAACATATTTTTTTCTAGAAAACACAATACTGTTGCAATTGTAAAAAAATTTACAATTATTTTCTTTTATCATGAAAATATTTCTAGATATTGCTTCAAAACCTTTTCAAAAAACTAAAATTCATACGCTAATAAAAATAATATAAATACAAAATTCGTGCAACGCAAGTGATAGTGACTAGTATTGTAGATTAATGACAAAGGGTGATCAATATATTTTACATGCTTATTTATGCCCTTAATTAAAGTTGATTTATTTTGTTGTAATTCTACTCATTTTAGTGTATATATAGTTGTTTAGGTTAAAGTCTCGACTTGGACATTTTTATAAAATTTGTGAATTGTATACATTTTCAACTCAAATTAGTAAACAGAAAATTTTCTGCTTTTTTATTTGACTTTCCAGCGTGCATGAGGTAGGTGAGTGGAGCATTACTGTCCTTTGGGTGAGGGTAGTTTGGTCATATTTGTCTCGTCTTAAAGATGCCAATCAGGTTAAAATCAATCTGAACGTGTCTGAATTGGTCAATCAACAAACAAACAAAACAGAATTCAACAGATTTGTTTCACCATATAATTAGAGCTCAGGAAACCCAAGTTAAATTCAAGAAAGATGGACTGATATGGCTTCTTGACACTATTGCCAAGATTGCATAATATATACAACAAACAGCAGCAATAATATGTAG